CCGTCTGGATGTGATCCTGGGCAATATGCTCTAGGTGACCCTGCTTGAACAGGGAGGTTGGACTAGATGATCTCCAGAGGTCCCTTCCAACCTAAACGATTCTGTGATTCTGTGATTCTGAGCCGGAGAGGGAGAGGGAGAGTGAGCTGGAGCCGGAGCGGCAGAGGGAGACAGAAGGGAGACGGAGAGGCCGAGGGAGTCAGAGAGGGAAACGGAGATGGAGAGGCTGAGGCAGAAGGAGCGGCAGAGGCAGAGGGAGAGGCAGAGGGAGAGGCCGAGGGAGTTGGAGAGGCTGAGGCTGAGGGAGATGGAGAGGCCGAGGCCGAGGGTGACAGAGAGCCCGAGGTCAAGGGAGAAAGAGAGGATGAGAACGAGGTAGTCAGAGATAGAGATGGAGATGGAGACGGAGACACCAAGGCCGAGGCTGAGCGAGTCACAGACGGAGAGGCCAAGGGTGACAGAGAGCCTGAGGCCAAGGGAGACAGAGAGGGCCAGGCCGAGGTAGTTGGAGATGGAGATGGAGAGAGAGATGGAGACGCCGAGGCTGAGGCTGAGGCCGAGCGAGTCAGAAAAGGAGAGGCCGAGGCTGAGAGACAGAGATGAAGAAGCCAAGGCCAAGGCCTAGGGAGATGGAGACAGAGAGGCTGAGGCCAAGGCAGGGGCCAAGGGTGACAGAGAGCCTGAGGCCAAGGCCGAGGGAGACAGAGAGGGTGAGGCTGAGGTAGTCGGAGACGGAGATGGAGATGGAGACGCCGAGGCTGAGGCCGAGCAAGTCGGAGACAGAGAGGCCGAGGCTGAGGGAGTCAGAGACAGAGACGGAGAGGCTGAGGCTGAGGCCAAAGAAGATGGAGATGGAGAGGTCGAGGCCGAAGCCGAGGGAGTAAGGGATGGAGACGGAGAAGCCGAGGCCGAGGGAGTCAGAGATGGAGAAGTCGAGGCCAAGGGATACAGAGAGGCCAAGGACAAGTCAGTCAGAAATGGAGAGGCAGAGGCTGAGGGAGACAGAGAGGGAGAGGAAGAGGGTGAGAGAGAGGGAGATGGAGACTGAGACGGAGACAGAGAGGGTGATGCAGAAGGAGCGGGAGCCGTGGAGGGAGCCACCGGGGGGGGGGGGCAGAGGGAGCTGGAGTGGGAGCCTCGGATGGAGGGGCAGAGGGAGCTGTAGAGGGAAAGGGAGCGGGAGCAAGAGCCAGAGAGGGAGGTGGAGAGGAAGAGGGAGCCAGAGCTGGAGAGGCAGAGGCAGAGGGAGACAGAGAGGGAGAGGGAGACAGAGACTGAGAAGGAGAGGCCGAGCCCGAGGAAGATGGAGACAGAGACGGAGAGGCTGAGGGAGATGGAGAGGCTGAAGGAGTCTGCATCGGAGTCGGAGACAGAGTAGGAGCCGGAACAGCAGAGGCAGTCCGAGGAAGAGGGAGTTGGAAAGGATGAGGGAGTCAGAGATGGAGACGCTGAGGGAGACGGAGACGGAGAGGCCAAGGGAGTCAGAGAGGGAGTAGGAGAGGGAGAGGGAGATGGAATGGGAGATGCAAAAGGCAATGCAGAGGAATCTGCTGAGGGAGCGGGAGCCAAGGAGGCAGAGGGAGACAGAGGCAGAGCCACAGACAGAGAGGCAGAGGGAGCCAGAGCAGGAGAGGGAGCCGGAGCAGGAGTGGCAGAGGGAGTCAGTGACAGAGCGGCAGAGGGAGAGGCCGAGGGAATTGGGGATGGAGAGGTTGAGGGAGACTTAGATGGAGACAGAGAGACCAAGGCCAAGGGAGTTGGAGACAGAGAGGGTGAGGGAGTCTGAGAAGGAGAGGCTGAGGCCGAGGGAGATGAAGAGGCCAAGGCTGAGGCCGAGAGAGATGGAGATGAACAAGCCAAGGCCAAGGCTTAGGGAGACAGAGACAGTGAGGCCAAGGCCAAGCGAGATGGGAGAGGCGAGGCCGAGGGTAACAGAAAGGCCAAGGTCGAGGGAGCCGGAGATGGAGATGGAGAGGCTGAGGCCGAGGCCAAGGGAAACAAAGGGCCCGAGGCCAAGGGAGACAAAGGGCCCGAGGCTGAGGGAGACAGAGACAGAGACAGAGAGGCTGAGGCAGATGGAAATGGAGATGCCAAGGCAGAGGCCGATGCAGAGTCTGAGGGAGATGGAGAGGTGGAGGGAGAGGGAGAGGGAGATGGAGAGAGGACAGAGACAGTGATGCAGAGGGAATGGGAGCTGTTGAGGCAGCTGCAGAGGGAGCGGGAGCCATGGACGGAGAGGCAAAGGAAGCCAGAGAGGGAAAGGGAGAGGGATCCAGAGAAGGAGAAGGAGAGGGAGCCAGAGCAGCAGAGGCAGAGGAAGCGGGAGCTGGAGCGGCAGAGGCAGATGGAGAGGGAGAGGGAGAGGCCGAGGGAGTCGGAGATGGAGACAGAGAGGCCGAGGGAGGCGGAGAGACCAAGAGAATCAGAGTCAGAGATGAACACAGAGCTGGAGCCAGAGTGGCAGAGGCAGAGGGAGAGGAGGAGGGAGAGGGGGAGAGGGAGAGAGAGGAGGAGGATGAGGCGGAGAGACTTGCAGATGGAGATGAAGAGGCCGAAGGAGTCGGAGACAGAGAGGCCAAGGGAGACTGAGATGGAGACAGACAGGCAGATGGAGACTGACATGGACAAGCCGGCAGAAGAGGACAATGTAGAGGGTGTTGGAGCCAGAGAGGGTGCTGCGGAGGCAGAGGGAGTGGGAGTAAGAGCCACGGAGGCACAGGGAGCCAGAGAGAGAGGTTGTGGGAGAGGTAGACCAAGAGAGTGAGGGAGAGGGAGACAGAGAGGGAGACAGAGAGGCAGAGGCAGACGGAGAGAGAGGGGGAGAAGGAGACGAACATGGAGCAGCAGAGGCTAAGGCAGAGGCAGATGGAGAGAAAGAGGGAGAAGGAGACGAACACGGAGAAGCAGAGGCTAAGGCAGAAGGAGACGGAAACGCAGAGGCAAAGGGAGATGGAAACACAGAGGTAAAGGGAGATGAAGAAGAAGAAGCAAGGAGATGGAGACGCACATGTGGAGGGAGAAAGAGACGCAGTGTCAGAGGGTGACAGAGATGGAGAGGCAGAGGCCGAGGGAGATCGAGATGGAGACACAGGTGCAGAGGGAGATGGAGATGGAGAGGCAGAAGAAGAGGGAGACTGAGAGGCAGAGGCAGATGGAGACACAGAGGGAAACGGAGATGGGGACGCAGAGGAAGAGGGACACAGATGCAGAGTTAGAGGGAGACAGAGACGGAGAGGCAGAGGGAGATGGAAACAGAGAGGGAAATGGAGACGCAGTGTCAGAGGGTGACGGAGAGGCAGAGGCAGAGGGAGACAGTGGAAGAAGGAGACAGACACAGAGGTGAAGGCAGACAGAGACTCAGAGGGAGATGGAGATGCAGAGGTGGAGGCAAAAGGAGAGTAAGAAGGCAGAAGGAGATGGAGACGGAGAGGCAGATGGAGACGGAGATGCAGAGGGAGACAGAGAAGAAGGAAGAAGGAGACGGAGATGAAGAGGCAGAGGGAGATGCAGAGGCAGAGGCAGAGGGAGACAAAGACGCAGAGCTAGAGGGAGACGGAGAGGCAGAGGGAGACAGAAGCAGAGGGAGACAGAGAAGAAGAAGGCAAAAGGAGACGGAGATGCAGAGGCAGAGCGAGATGGAGAAAAAGAAGGCAGAAAGAGATGGAGACAGAAAGGCAGAGGGAGATGGAGAGGCAGAGGAAGATGGAGAGGCAGATGAAGAGGAAGAGGAAGACAGACGCAGAGCTAGAGGGAGACAGAGAGGCAGAGGCAGAGGGAGACGCACAGGCAGAAGCAGAAGGAGATGGAGAGGCAGAGGGAGACGGAGAAGAAGCAGCAAGAAGGAGGTGGAGACACAGAGGCCGAGGGAGATGGAGATGCAGAGGCGGAGGCCGAGGGAGATGGAGACGCAGAGGCAGAAGGAGTGGCAAAGGGAGATGGACTAGGCAATGGAGACGCAGAGGAAGAGGGAGACAGAGACTGAGAGGCAGAAGCAGAGGGAGACCTAGAGGCAGAGGACGGGGGAGAAGGAAAGGCAGAGTACGAGGGAGACCGAGAGGCAGAGGGAGACCGAGAGGCAGAGGCAGAGAGACGCAGAGGGAGAGGCAGAGGGATACAGAGAGGCAGAGGGTGATGGAGATGGAGAGGCAGAAATAGAGGGAGACCTAGAGGCAGAGGACGGGGGAGAAGGAAAGGCAGAGTACGAGGGAGACCGAGAGGCAGAGGGAGACCGAGAGGCAGAGGCAGAGAGACGCAGAGGGAGAGGCAGAGGGATACAGAGAGGCAGAGGGTGATGGAGATGGAGAGGCAGAAATAGAGGGAGCAGAGGCAGAGAGGCAAAGGGAGAGGGATATGGAGATGGAGAGGCAGAGGGAGAAGGAGAGGCAGAGGAAGGAGGAGATGCAGTGTTAGAGGGAGACAGAGACGCAGAGGCAGAGGCAGATGGAGAAGAAGAAGCAAGAAGGAGATGGAAACGGAGACGCAGAGGCAGAGGGAGACAGTGATGCAGAGGCGGAGGCCAAGGGAGACGAAGACGCAGTGTTAGAGGCAGAGGGAGACGCGGTGTTAGAGGCAGAGGGAGACAAAGAGGCAGAGGGAGAGGGAGTGGCAGAGGGAGACAGAGTAGGAGACAGAGAAATAGAGGCAGAGGGAGATGGAGATTGAGAGGCAGAGGGAGACGGAGTGGCAGAGGGAGAGGGAGAGGCAACGGAGAGTAAGATGGCAGAAGGAGATGGAGCCAGAGAGGCAGAGGCAGACGGAAATGAAGAGGCAGAGAGAGATGGAGAGGCAGAGGGAGACAGAGATGCAGAGGCAGAGGGAGACGGAGAGTAAAAAGGCAGGAGGAGATGGAGATGGAGAGGCAGAGACAGAGGGAGACAGAGAGGCAGAGGGAGACAGAGAAGAAGAAGGCAGAAGGAGACAGAGACGCAGAGGGAAACGGAGACGCAGAGGCAGAGGGAGAGGGAGATGGAGAATGAGAAGCAGAGGGCTACGGCGACACAGATGAAGCAGAGAGGGAGACATGCAGAGCTAGAGGGAGACAGAGACGGAGAGGCAGAGGGAGAGAGAGAGGCAGAGGGAGAGAGATGCAGAGGGGGACAGAGATGCAGTGTCAGAGGGTGATGGAGACGGAAGTGCAGCGGCTGAGGTAGAGGCAGAGGGAAATGGAAATGCAGATGCAGAGGTACAGTCAGACAGAGATGGAGACACAAAGGGAGACAGAGAAGGAGATGCACAGGCAGAGGGAGAGGGAGAAGGAGAGGGAGACAGAGAAACAGAGACAGAAGAAGACTGAGAGACAGAGGCATAAGGAGATGGAAAGGCAGAGGGAGATGGAGACACATAGCCAGAGGGAGACGGAGACACAAACAGAGACAGAAGGAGAGGCAGAGGGTGACAGAGATGGAGAGGCACAGTGCAAAGGAGAGGCAGGAGGAGACCAAGATGCAGAGGCAGACGGAGATGCAGAGGGAAACCAAGACGCAGAGGACGAGGGAGACACAGATGCAGATGCAGAGGGAGAAGGAGACACAGAGGCAGAGGGAGAAGGAAATGAAGAGGCAGCGGGAGAGGCAGAGGTGGACAGAGATGGAGAGGAAGATGTAGAGGGAGATGGCAACGGAGACACAGAGGCCAAGGGAGACAGAGACGCAGAGGACGAGGGAGACGGAGTGGATGAGGGAGACAAAGTGGCAGAGGGAGATGCAGGGGAAGATGGAACTGGAGATTGAGAGGCAGAAGCAGAGGGAGACGGAGGTGCAAAGGCAGAGGCAGACAGAGAGTAAGAAGGCAGAAGGAGACGAAGAGAAAGAAGGCAGAAGGAGATGGAGATGGATGCAGAGGCAGAGGGAGATGGAGACGGAGAGGCAGAATGAGAAGGAGACGGAGAGGCAGAGGGAGATGGAGAGGCAGAGGCAGAGGGAGACAGAGAGGCAGAGGGAGACAGAAATGAAGATGCAGAGGCACAGTCAGACAGAGACAGAGAAGGACACGCAGAGGAAGAGGGAGACAGAAAGAGACAGAGGTAGAGGGAGAAGAAGAGGGTGAGGGAGACAGAGAGACAGAGGCAGAAGGAGATGGAGAGGAAGAAGGAGACAAAGAGGGAGAGGGAGAGGGAGGTGGAGACGCAGGTGCAGAGGGAGACAGAGATTGAGATGCAGAAGCAGAGGGAGACCGAAAGGCAGAGGACTAGGAAGATCTAGATTCACAGCACGAGGGAGACCTAGATTCACAGCACGAGGGAGACACATAGGCAGAGGGCGAGGGAGATGCAGAGGCAGAGGGCAAGGGAGACGGAGAGGCAGAGGGGGATGGAGAGGCAGGAAGGAGATGGAGACGGAGAGGCAGAGGGGGATGGAGAGGCAGGAAGGAGATGGAGACGGAGAGGCAGAGGGGGATGGAGAGGCAGGAAGGAGATGGAGACGGAGAGGCAGAGGGGGATGGAGAGGCAGGAAGGAGATGGAGACGGAGAGGCAGAGGGGGATGGAGAGGCAGGAAGGAGATGGAGACGGAGAGGCAGAGGGGGATGGAGAGGCAGGAAGGAGATGGAGACGGAGAGGCAGAGGGGGATGGAGAGGCAGGAAGGAGATGGAGACGGAGAGGCAGAGGGGGATGGAGAAGCAAGAAGGAGATGGAGACGGAGAGGCAGAGGCAGAGGCCAAGGGAGACCCAGTGTCAGAGGGTGATGGGGATGGAGAGGCAGAGGCAAAGGGATATGAAGAGGCAGATGGAGATGGACAGGCAGAAGGAGACGGACAGGCTGAGGGAGAGGGAGGTGGACAGGCTGAGGGAGACGGAGACACAGTCAGAGGGAGATGACGCAGTGTAAAAGGGGGACAGAGATGGAGAGGCAGAGGCAGAGGGAGACGGAGACACAGTCAGAGGGAGATGACGCAGTGTAAAAGGGGGACAGAGATGGAGAGGCAGAGGCAGAGGGAGACGGAGACACAGTCAGAGGGAGATGACGCAGTGTAAAAGGGGGACAGAGATGGAGAGGCAGAGGCAGAGGGAGACGGAGACACAGAGGCAGAGGGAGACGCGCAGGAAGAGGGAGTGGCAGAGGGAGATGGAGTAGGAGACGGAGACCAAGAGGCAGAAGCAGAGGGAGACTGAGAGGCAGAAGCAGAAGGAGACCTAGAGGCAGAGGATGAGGGAGACCTAGAGGCAGATGGAGACACAGACAGAGATGCAGAGGATGAGGGGAACAGAGATGCAGAGGAAAAGGGAGATGGAGACAGATTGTCAGAGGGAGACGCAGGGGCAGAGGGAGACAGAGATTGAGAGACAGAGGAGGAGGGAGGCCTAGAGGCAGAGGAGGAGGGAGACGGAGAGACAGAGGTGGAGGCAGAAGGAGAGGAAGAAGGCAGAAGGAGAGGAAGACAGAGAGGCAGAGGGAGACAGAAAAGAAGGCAGAAGGAGACGGAGAGACAGAGGGAGATGGAGATGCAGAGGAAGAGGGAGACGGAGATTGAGAGGCAGAGGACGAGGGAGACCTAGAGGCAGAGGACGAGGGAGAGGCAGAGGGAGACCGAAATGCAGAGGCAGACAGAGACACTGAGGCAGATGGAGACACAGAGGACAAGGGTCACAGAGAGGCAGAGGCAGACAGAGAGTAAAAAGGCAGAAGGAGACAGAGATGCAGTGTCAGAGGGAGACGGAGTGGCAGAGGGAGAGGGAGATGGAGTGGCAGAGGGAGAGGGAAAAGGAGTGGCAGAGGGAGATGCAGGGGCAGAGGGAGACGGAGATTGAGACGCAGAAGCAGAGGGAGACCTAGTGGTAGAGGACGAGGGAGACGGAGAGGCAGAGGGTGAGGGAGAGGAAGAAGGAGACGAAGACGCAGAGGAGGAGGCAGACGGAGATGTAGAGGGAGACGGAGAGGCAGAGGGAGACGGAGATGCGGCAGCGGAGGAAGACAGAGAGTAAGAAGACAGGAGAGGGAGACGGAGAGGCAGAGACAGAGGGAGATGGAGAAGAATGAGAAACAGAAGAAGAAGGCAGAAGGAGACGGAGTCGCAGAGGCTGAGGGAGACGGAGAGTAAGAAGGCAGAAGGAGATGGAGATGGAGATGCAGAGGCAGAGGGAGACGGAAATGTAGATGCAGAGGAAGAGGCGGAGGGAGACGGAGACTCAGAGGCTGAGGGAGATGGAGAGTAAGAAGGTAGAACGAGACGGAGACGGAGTGGCAGAGGAGTGGCAGAGGGAGACGGAGATGGAGAGGGAGATGGAGATGGAGAGGAAGAGGGAGACGGAGACGCAGTGTCAGAGGGTGATGAAGATGGAGAGGCAGAGGCCAAGGGAGGCAGAGGCCGAGGGAGGGGCAGAGGGAGACAGCAACGCAGAGGCAGACAGAGCCAGAGAGGCAGAGGGGAGAGGCAGACACAGCCGGAGAGGCAGACGGGACGGCAGAGGCAGCCAGAGAGGCAGACAGGTGAGGGAGACAGAGCCGGAGAGGAAGAGGGGAGAGGCAGAGGGGAGAGGCAGATGGTACCTTAGAGACAGATGGGAGAGGCAGACGGGACGGCAGAGGCAGCCAGAGAGGCAGAGGGGAGAGGCAGACCGAGCTGGAGAGGCAGATGGAGCTTCAGAGGGAGACAGAGCCAGAGAGCCAGACAGGAGTGGCAGGCGGGAGAGGCAGACAGCACCAGAAAGGCAGATGGGAGAGGCTGACGGAGCTGGAGAGGCAGATGGAGCTTCAGAGGGAGACAGAGCCAGAGAGCCAGACAGGAGTGGCAGGCGGGAGAGGCAGACAGCACCAGAAAGGCAGATGGGAGAGGCTGACGGAGCTGGAGAGGCAGATGGAGCTTCAGAGGGAGACAGAGCCAGAGAGCCAGACAGGAGTGGCAGGCGGGAGAGGCAGACAGCACCAGAAAGGCAGATGGGAGAGGCTGACGGAGCTGGAGAGGCAGATGGAGCTTCAGAGGGAGACAGAGCCAGAGAGCCAGACAGGAGTGGCAGGCGGGAGAGGCAGACAGCACCAGAAAGGCAGATGGGAGAGGCTGACGGAGCTGGAGAGGCAGATGGAGCTTCAGAGGGAGACAGAGCCAGAGAGCCAGACAGGAGTGGCAGGCGGGAGAGGCAGACAGCACCAGAAAGGCAGATGGGAGAGGCTGACGGAGCTGGAGAGGCAGATGGAGCTTCAGAGGGAGACAGAGCCAGAGAGCCAGACAGGAGTGGCAGGCGGGAGAGGCAGACAGCACCAGAAAGGCAGATGGGAGAGGCTGACGGAGCTGGAGAGGCAGATGGAGCTTCAGAGGGAGACAGAGCCAGAGAGCCAGACAGGAGTGGCAGGCGGGAGAGGCAGACAGCACCAGAAAGGCAGATGGGAGAGGCAGACCGAGCCGGAGGACCAGATGGAGCCAGAGGGGCAGACAGGAGAGGCAGATGGGAGAAGAAGACAGCCGGAGAGGCAGAAGGAGAGGCAGACAGTGTCAGAGAGGCAGACAGCACTGCAGAAGCATACGGGAGAGGCAGGCAAAGCCAGAGAAGCAGACGGAGCTGCAGAGGCAGAGGCTGACAGGAGAGACAAAAGGCACCGCAGAGGCAGATGGAGCCGCAGAGGCAGAGGGGAGAGGCAGACCGAGCTGGAGAGGCAGATGGGAGAGGCTGACGGAGCTGGAGAGGCAGATGGGAGAGGCTGACGGAGCTGGAGAGGCAGATGGGAGAGGCTGACGGAGCTGGAGAGGCAGATGGGAGAGGCTGACGGAGCTGGAGAGGCAGATGGGAGAGGCTGACGGAGCTGGAGAGGCAGATGGGAGAGGCTGACGGAGCTGGAGAGGCAGATGGGAGAGGCTGACGGAGCTGGAGAGGCAGATGGGAGAGGCTGACGGAGCTGGAGAGGCAGATGGGAGAGGCTGACGGAGCTGGAGAGGCAGATGGGAGAGGCTGACGGAGCTGGAGAGGCAGATGGGAGAGGCTGACGGAGCTGGAGAGGCAGATGGGAGAGGAAGACGGGAGAGCAAGATGGCGCAGGAAAGGCAGATCGCACCAAAAAGGCAGATGGCACTGCAGAGGCAGACGGGAGAGGAAGACGGGAGAGGCAGACGAGGCCACAGAGGAAGACGAAGCCGGAGAGGCAGACAGCACCATAGAGGAAGATGGGAGATGCAGACGCAGACGGGAGAGGCAGACGCCGACGGGCGAGGTAGACGCAGCAGGAGAGGCAGACGGAGACTGGAGAGGGAGATGCAGACGGGAGAGGCATATGGAGCTAGGAGAGGCAGACGGAGACTGGAGAGGGAGATGCAGACGGGAGAGGCATATGGAGCTAGGAGAGGCAGACGGAGACTGGAGAGGGAGATGCAGACGGGAGAGGCATATGGAGCTAGGAGAGGCAGACGGAGACTGGAGAGGGAGATGCAGACGGGAGAGGCATATGGAGCTAGGAGAGGCAGACGGAGACTGGAGAGGGAGATGCAGACGGGAGAGGCATATGGAGCTAGGAGAGGCAGACGGAGACTGGAGAGGGAGATGCAGACGGGAGAGGCATATGGAGCTAGGAGAGGCAGACGGAGACTGGAGAGGGAGATGCAGACGGGAGAGGCATATGGAGCTAGGAGAGGCAGACGGAGACTGGAGAGGGAGATGCAGACGGGAGAGGCATATGGAGC